AATGAGGCATCGACGCATATTTACCAGACTGCAGTTGCACTTTTCTACAGCAATAGTAATGACGGGTTGTAACAAATGATGAAAGGCGCAAGAGGTGGGAGGATTAGCTGAGGAAGGTGAAGGCAAACACAATCCACATCTCCATTCGCATCACTTATGCTCCACTCAGTATTTGGGGGCAGTAACGGGCTCATTTTAGATTTTACGGATGTACTTGCGACTTATTACCAGCATGCGAACGAAGACAGAATGAGAGTATGTGTAATGCTAGAACCGAGTACAGGCGGCCGTTGCTACTTGGCATTTGGTTGTAGAAATACCAGGTCTCAACTCGTGCGCATGCGTTGCATTAACCTTATACCATGCCACCCTCAAATTCGCGTAGTTTGTGAAAGGGTCATTTGGGAGGTAGCACACCAGATGCTCTTCTGTGCCACAAGGACGTAAAATTAGCCTCAGTCCGACAAGCATTCGAAATTCAAAGTGTGTGAACGGTTCTGATGCTGATGCTCACAAATGAACCCACTTTACCATCCATCCGACCACCTTTGGCCAATTTTACTGTCTAATCGTGATAGAGAAGGATCAGAAAGCAAGATCTAGTGTTGTGTGACAGCATGCAGTTTGGCACTCTTTTTACTACAGCACTTGTGTTAGTGTGAGCAGACGTCTGTGACGAGTGGCCGTTTTCGTCTGTTGACTTGTTATTCGATGCCTGCAGGTCTGAGAGCTTCACTTCAAGCTGCGTGGCAATTCTAGACATTTACAACTTCTTGTTTGCTAACTGTGAGGAGGAAACACAAATGGCCCTTTCCTGTGACAAGTCCGTTGTCAATGCTCTTACTTGTGATCTTTTGAAAGAAGGTGAGGTTGAATGGTTTTTGACTGCGTCATTACCTGCGTGATCTCTTCATTCCCACTTTCCTCGACTTCCATCGCAGTCTTCTCGCAAGGGCAGATGTTTGCCTAACATTCATTTATTCAACATTCGTAGTACTGAAAAGGACACGCGCACACCTCCCGAGTGGAGTTTGAGTCCATTTCACGCCCCTCGCATTCTGGGTACACATGAAACAATAAATATATGTGTGTTCGCTGATTCTCTCATTACCGAACGGCATTTTATGCTGCTGGCTTGAACTAGAATTAGTTGGCAGTGTGTGAGCAAATGGAGATGCTTGCAGTTTCGGTGAACATAGCAAAATGATTGTGGAGCCTCAATCTGATGTGCGGTATTACAGTGGAAGGCTATGCACTATTCCTCTGGCTGCCGACACCGGAACCTCAATGGAAGTAAAGGCCTCTCCGCATGCAAGCTTAGCCTTGGTGTGCAAATCGGAGAACGGACAAAATATGTGCACAGGCGCAAGCCATATTTCACTCCCACCGATTTTGAGAGTAAGTAATATTTCATGCTTTGACAACTTTTTGGACCATCTCCATTGACATGTTGCATGTGGAGTTCACTAAGCAGATGTGGATGGTTTATTACGACCCAACGACTTCGCGTCAGGTTGCACTATTTGGTGGATGTTTGCGTCACCGTGGCGACGGAGGTACTGCGCCGAAACGGAAGCATCGCAATGCAAACCCATCGTCATACGCGGCGTTTCACATATCGCCACACTTCTTTAAGATGAAGTGCTGTGAAATACGCAATAATTTCGGTTTGATGCAGCATCTCATTCCCTTTACCACCGAAAGTAAAGTTGTTATGTGATAGCCATAGAGTAATGGAATGCTGCTCCAATAGTGGCGAAGGAGGAAAGGAGACAAAAGCTTTTTGTTATGCTAGCAGAGAATGGGTGGATACTTTCTTCCTTCCTTCCTACTGTCCTTTCACTGATTGTTGGCACAAGAGGCTCACATTTAGTTTCGGGATGAGGACGTGCAGGCATCAGATACCCAGATGGCCACAACTCGCAATGGTGTCAGCAATCCATCTTCACAGGCTGCCACCTGAGCAAACAATCGAAGTGAGTAGCAGTCGATTTGTCCTGAAAGAGGCGAAATTGCTCGAGGACAGGAAACGCAGTTGAACGCGTATAGATGGAAGCGCATACGTCTTTGCTAGGATGAACAACAGCTTTGGTTATTTTCGTTGGCGCACTTTAACTGCCTTTTATGTCGGTCTTGCTATTTCGATGGCTGAATGTCATCATTTCAGCTTCAGTAACTGAGTTAACCTCTCGTTGCACGTTGACTGAGGTGGGATGCACAAGCAGTGGAACATGAATTGGGGCATTGCCTCGCCGAAGAAAGTCCAAATGGTAA